ATAGCTGCAATGAAAGCTGTTGTTGGTGAAGAAGCTTTATCATCGGATGATTTACTTTATTTAGAATTTTTAGGCAAATTTGAAAAGAATTTTCTTACTCAAGGTGATGATTCATTTACTTGCGAAAAGTTTTTTTTCTTACTATTGAAAATATTTTTTTTTATTATTTTAGGTGCTTATGAAAATCGTACAATAGCTGATTCATTAGACGTATGTTGGCAATTACTTCGAACATTTCCACGTGAAATGCTTAAACGTATTCCACATAATATTCTTCAAGAATTTTATCCTCGTGATGGTGGCAAAAATCTACAACAGCAACCAGCAACAACAACAGGATGATGCAATGACTATATATATATATATATAGAAATGTTCTTTTTATGCATTTATATATTTCGAAAGGAAAAAACAATAAATCTATATGTGTGTGTGTTTAATTGTGCAATATCTTATGTGTAGGTGTGTAGTCGTTCGTGACAGACCGGTTTTTTCTAACTAACATTTCCACCTTGATACTCCTCTTGTTAATGTGATTCTATCCTTAAATTTATTTCATTGAATGTTGTTGCCGAAACAATCATATGTTTCATCACCTTTTTCGTAATTATGTAATTGTTTATTATTTGCCTCTTTTTTTTCAATCCTTATTTATTCAGTCAGTAATTATGCAAGAGTTATGACATTGACTTTATTATTTTAGATTATTTTCAATTTTCTTCTACATATATATATATATTAGATAAAGCGGCATTAAAAGGTTTATTTAGTAAAGAATTACAGAGCGTTTAACCGTTTCGTATCGTATGACAGAGCAAGACATTATTAATCTTCGTTCAGCTGACCCGTTCGCCGATGTGACCGGGAGAAGTGCATTGGATAGTGGAGCTGGTGGTGCTGCAAGTGGTCAACGTAGCTCCCATATAATACATATTCGTATTCAACAACGTAGTGGAAAAAAAACTCTTACTACTGTTCAGGTACTTTATTTTTATACAATACTTTAATGGAGGGATGAGAAACATGAATAGTAGACATTAACATACATGAAAAGATGTTAGCACAATATCTATGACATTAAAATATGAAACACAACGTAGTTGTTCTTGCTAATCACGAGGAGAATGTTTTAATGAGAAATTATTTTTATACGAGCTTTAATCGTATATCAACAACATCTGTGATGACTGTTGACTAATAGATTTCGGCGATTTCAAAAAAAAAGCTGAAACCGGAACGGTTAAATCATTAGATACAAAAATTCTTAAATCTATGTCGAGAAATCTTAATTTTTTCATTCTTGAGATATACTAAAAATTTCTTACAATGAATTTACAATTTTCATTTCTATCAGATGATTTATACGGTTTTGGTTCTACGTGATGTTTTGAAAATCGAATTGAAACCGTCGAACTCTACTGGCTAGTGTCTGTAAGGATCTGTGGCGGAGAAAGGAAGGTGGGTAGAGCCCGTCAAGTCTAAAATTTTAGTGCCCTCATCCAGTCGAACCGTACTTTGATAATCGCAATGAAATTTTCTAATCGAAATGGGATAATTGCCCCAAAAATAGGAGATACTTTTTTCTATTTCTTTCTATCAGATGATTAGCACACCTGACAGATTGCCATATACTTCAACAATAGTTGTAGATCATGTTTCAAAAAAGCTATTATTCAAAGACTTCAAGACTAAAGTCTTTATTATTTCTCCTTTGAGTTCAACATCAGTTATAAATATTATACTTTTTTCTCTTTTGTTTTGTAATTCATAAGGGTATTGGTGAAGAATTTGACAAAAAACGTCTTTTAAGTGCATTCAAAAAGAAATTTGCATGTAATGGTACTGTTGTTGAACATAAAGAATATGGCGAAGTAATTCAACTTCAAGGTGATCAAAGAAACAATGTGAGTCAATTTCTTCAAGACATTGGACTTTGTCAAGCTGAACAAATAAAACTTCATGGTTTTTGAACACAAGTTTTATTGTTCATAATCGTCAATTTTGACGTTATTTGCTATTCAAGAAAAAAAGAGACTAATCAAATATTCGTTTTGTTTTTTTAATATGAGTGTGTGCGTCTGTATTCAATCTCCTTTTTTCTATATCTTCTGTTTGTCATTTATTCATCTATTTCAAATATATACATATATATACATCCATACCAAGGCAATGTTTTCAATTTCAGACATATATATATATACATATTTCTAATAGAAACTAGATGAATTCAAATCAAACATCAATGTTAAGTGACGAAGAAGCTACTCTTTATGATCGACAAATTCGTTTATGGGGTGCTGATGCTCAGTTAAAGTAATAAGAATAACTAATATTTATTCTTAATTTGATTATTATGCTTTTTTCTAGACTTCGTCAAACACGTTTATTACTTATTAATGTCAATAGTTTATCAATAGAGGTATGTAAAAATTTATGTTTAGCTGGTGTTGCTAGTATAACGGTATTTGATAATACACGTGTTACATCAAATGATATTGAAGAAAATTTAACATTAACAATGTCATCAACAGATATAAATGAATTTAAATCGGTTTGTACATGTCGAACTTTACAACAATTAAATCCACGTGTACATTTAATTGCGGAATCAAATATGACAATTGATCAAATTGATGAAAAATATATTGAACAATTTGATTATGTTTGTTTATTTAATTATTATGATTTTTCAATTGTATCACATCTTAATAAACTTTGTCGAGGACAACAACATGTAGATGAAAATGGAAAAAAACAAGTTTATTTTTTTTGTGCCGGTACATTTGGATTATATGGATTTGTATTTAAAGATCTCGGTGATAAATATGATTATCTTAGGTAAATATTATTGGTATAATTGATGTTCAACTCGTTCACATTTTGAAAGTGAATTAATTTTGATTGAGATTGAATAAGTATTATTTAGGAAATCTATCGGTGAGATTCATCAAATCGAGAATATTAATTAGTGAGCTTAAAAATGAGATAGAGTTCCAAAATGACAATTATACAGACACCCATGGGTATCCTTATCTAAAAAGATGGTTATATTCTAATTGCGAAAAAAGAGCAGATCACAATAGTTCTCTGTATAATCTTCGTTTATTTTGCAGGGTATGATAAGAAAAATGTTTAGGGAATTAAAAAAAAGATTAATATGAGAATCTTCATCAATAATACAAAAGTTCTATTCAATAAAAAAAAAACAAAAGAGAGACATCATTTTTTTTTTTTATGTAACATTTCCTTGACAACATAAGGTAATCTATCTAAAAGTTTCTCAATAATAAGATCACCATGTTCATAACGTCAATATAAATTATCAAATCTGTCTTGTATTGCATTTGTGGTAATTGTGTTTGATCTAGCTGTAAGTAGAACCACTGGATGGACTTCGGATCTGGTCGAGTCCAAAAACTTTGGACACCACAGGCCTTAGCTGCAAGACTAACTTTCATTGAAATTAATACATAGTTGAAATTTTTTTCTTCTTGTTCAGAATAATGAAGTTCGGCGATCTCTTATCATCATAATTTTCGACATTTTTTCTTTACGCATGTGTCCATGGCTATTGGTATTGACAACTACTTGACACTACCCATTGATTATTCTAATCAAATAATATGAAATTCATTAGTTTTCTTTCTTGACAGGTTTTGATAAACATGACGAGAAAAATATATAAGGTTATGAGGTACGATTTTTCTACAAATTGATGTCTGTCATTGTGTTTTTCTCTGACAACAACAGTTATAGATCTCTGTCAATCTTTCGTTCGAATATGAAACTTATCTTGGTAACGACTGTAGATTAATCTCATAGATTTATTATTGATAGGTGACTATCATTAGAAACTAAGAATATTAAATAAATAGAAGCGTTATACATTATCTGTGAATTTCTTACTTTTTATTATATGCTATGATTATAGTGGGTCTCATGGCCACTCAATGAAAACATTAAAAAGACAAAGTACATAATATTGACTTAATAGAATGGAGTATTTTTAAGCGAATTTTTCTTAAAAATATGTTTCTTTGTTTAGTGAAAATTCAGTTGGAAGTGAATCATTAATAAAAGGTGAAGGTGGTAATGAATCAAAGAAAAATGAAAAAATTACAACTAAATCGGTAATTAAATCATTTAAAGTAATTAGCAAAAAATATATTTTATTTCTTTAAGACTCGCAATTTTGTAACATTTGAAAAAGCATTAGCCACAGAATGGAAACCAAATCGACGACAAGCAACAACACGTTCAGCTGTAATAACATATAATTTATTGCATGGTAAGTGTATATATATGTATATATGATCAATATGAAATTAAATGATGGTTTCTTTATTTTTAAGCTCTTTTGTCATTTTATGAACAATATCGACGGGCACCTGCATTAGTTACACAAGATGTTGATGTACCAAATTTAATGAAAATTATTCATGACAAAATAGCTTCATCAACAGCTTCTGCATCATCATCAAATACTATGAATAATGAAGAATTTAATGAAGAATTAGTCAAGTAAATAATATTTTTATCGAATCAATATTATACATATATTAATATTATACTTATGTAGGGATATTTTAACAGATAATAATGCTGTCTCATCAATTGTTGGTGGTATAATGAGTCATGATATTGTCAAAGTAAAAGATTTATTAAAAATAAAATTAATAGTTTTATTGATTGATTTTCTTTATATTAGGCAATTTCAAAACAAGAACCTAAAGATAATTTTTTCTTTTTCAATGGAGTAGCATGTGTTGGATTATCAATACCAATTGCTTGTTAAACTTGTTAAATACATTCTAGAATCTCTTATTACTTGTTCAAATTTCTTTTTTTTTTTGTTCTGTTAAAATTTAAAAAATAAATGTTACATATATGATTAGTTTCAAATGTTCATAAAAATTTAATGTTCTATAACTTATTCAATTGTTTATAGTCATTAATAAGTAAATACATTCAAACAAAACTTGTAATCGAGAATAAATAAGCTAATCACTTTTTCGAAGACCCAAAATAGGTATTATAATGACTAATATTATAATGACGATGGCAACAGATACTGAAACAAAAATAGTTAATTTCTAAACGAAAAATGGAACGTTTTGCACAAACGAGCATAATTATTTTGTCTTTGTTCAACTTACTCGTCGAGAAATACTACGTGATGTTCGGCGAACTAGTGGTCGTTCACCTTGTGTTGCTGCATTTTCAATAAAAGCAGTATTAGCAGACATTGTATCCAGAGCATTTTTGACTTCCTAAAATAAAATTATTTAAAATAAAAATTAACAATTTCAAATCTAAATTATTCTATAGAAAAATTCAATATCCATACGTTTATTGTTAATTTATTGTTCAAAGGTTCCATAATATTTTTTTCAGTTTTACGACAATTATTTTGTAACTGCGTCAATTTTTTAGTATGATATAAAGTGTTTCATTATTGACGTTCCGTATATGAATGGAGAATATCCTATCCAAGCATTTTCCTTTTATCATATGTCAGAAAAACTTATTTGATTGGTCAAATACCAAGGATGTGTTATTCCCAATTGTAAAGCTGATTGAGTCTTTTTTTTCTTCATATTGAGATTTGTTTGTCCGATACAAAAACTAGATCTAGAATATTAATATATACTTTTTTCTTGTTACATGACGTCATCGCCTAAAAGTGTCAATATAATTTATGTTGCTTTCGCGTTATGACAAACAAGAGATCATTTACTATTTAAAAAGGCAAAGAATATTATTATAACAAGCAAATCGTTGTTGTGTTTTTATTTTTTTTTCTTTGCTGTTCTGTTTTTTCTTTGTTTGAGATGAATTTCTTGCGAATGCATGTATCCTAGAAGATTCAGCTGCATAAAAAATGAATCGACACTACGATATTGCCATTATGTCATTGACGTGTCACACAAGAGAGAGAGAGAAAAAAGAAAAAAAGAATAATGTCTTTTTTTTCTTCCTTTTTTTTCTTCTACGCTTACAATGATCAGTATTATGCATACAAGCAAGGTGCAGTCGATTTCTATTGAGTAGCGTCATATATAAAATCAGGTAATATTTTACCCTGTTTTTTTTTCTAAAATGCAAATTACTAATGCACAAAAATCCTCTCTAACTCATGCTCTATTGAAAAAAAGAAAAATAACAATTCATTCGATTGATCTTTACTTTTAAGAGTAGACGAGTAGTTTTTTGTTTTTTTCGATTCACTGTAGAAAGAAGAACATTCGAACAGACATCATTGCAAGTAAAGTTATTTTTTGGATGACTCATTGTAAATTACTACATAAATATGTTTTTTCTTTAATAAAGGTTTCTGTTTTTGTGAAAAAATGGCATCGTTTTATCCATCATTTTTATACAGTGAGTGACTAAATTTTATATTGATGAACATCATAAGGAAGTTAATTTGTAGATTTCATCATTTTTTTATCTATTTTTTGTCGATTTACATATTCACAAGTAGCAACAGACTCATTGATATCTCCAATAGTATCTAATTCGAATGATACAACAGGCTTTACGAATACACCTATTAATATTAATTCGACATTGTCTTCGAATTCAACTCCATTTTCAAATAATTCAATATCAGTTAGTACTACTACTTTAACAAATCCGTTAGACATATCAATGACGACAATTACAACAGTTGATAATTCAACAAGTACAAGTATTTCTACAAATCCATCAACAAGATCTAGTGTCGATAATACTCGTCCCTCAGAGGGTAAATATAAGTTAGAATTATTAATAAAAAAAGAAACTATATATATACACACATTAATTGAGATAAAAACATGGCGACCTTAAAACAAATTTATGTAGTTCTATGAGATAAACAAGTGTTAATAATATTTAGAAAAAATAACAGAAGAATATATGTTTGTTTTTGGTTACGGATTATTATATGCCCTTTTCTTTTCTTTAGCATCATCAAAACCAGGCTGGTGGTTATTGGTTGCCCTTCTTATAACAGTAGCCATCGTTATTATTGCTGGTGTTATTTTCTATAATCGACAGCATTCTCCATATAGACGGTAAGGATTATTTATTAGAGCAATATGTTTTATATTATGATGCATGCATATGATTTTTCTTATTAACATGACTTAGCTAGAATCATGTAAAAGTAATGACAGCCTTAATAAAGATTATATATTTATCAATAATAAGAGAATATATAGATGAATTTTGCATTCTTAAAATATATTACTTCAATGTTGAAATAAATAAATAGAATCATTTAAAATTCTATACTTTCTTATAAGATTAAGAGAAAAAATTTTTCTTATTGAAATATGTTTTGTTTACTAGTTCTTTTTGTATTGTTTTTATTATCTAAGATATTATTTTGCTTCGAGGGTAAGGGTACATGAATGATTAATTTTAGATTTATTTCCTGTTTACAATGGTGTAGACAGTGCAAGTTCAGGTATATGTCATAAGTTAACTTAAATTTTAATAAATTATGCTTCTCTCAATTTTTGTTATGTTAATAACAGTATTGTCTGACATGCAATAGCATGTTTCTTCTTTATATTGATTGATTATTTAATTTATTTTAATCAATTTCTAAATTTATGTATTGATTTTTCTATATTAGGTTTCTTCGAAATTGGCGATCACGTGAAGATGATACAGATAATATTATTTTACAACTTGAACAATCAGAACTATCACCTGGACAATGGCCACCTCGAATCTCTTTTACTTAATTATTTATTAATTTTTTTTTCTGTTTATCTATATAGATATATAAATAAGAACAATTTTATTTGTTATAAAAATTTAATATTTATTTTGTGAAAATTATTACAACATTCAATCAAGTTCGATGGTTAATTTGTTTTCTACGGTTAAGTGTTTTTTTTATTTGCATAATTCGAATATGAATGATTTCATTTCGTCGATACTACATTGAACTTATAGTAATCTATATGGCTCTTTCAAATGGTAGAAACTAATATAGTGTAAAATATGACAACAATAAAAAAGCAGTAATACAATTTGCATTTATAACCTCTGAACTGGAATAAATCGAAGTCTAATTCAAATATCGCGTGAATATCGTTTGAAATTTGACGCTAACTTAAAATTTTTTCTTAATTGATTGTATTGCTGATGAGAATTAATCATTTTTTATGAAGATCAAAGAATTGACTACAAACAAACTATTCTTAAGTTATATGCTATTGGATGTACTATTTTTGTTATCTTTGTGTGATGAATAGGTCAAAGTATTCATGTTTACAGATGATGTGCTGAGCAAAAAGCCACCCCCAATCTTGAGAAATTTCCATTTGTTCTGAGCGTTTTATTCGTTTTCTATGCTCACTAATTTTCAAAAAAACGCTCGATTCCACTCCCAATTCTAACGACTTCTAAACATCCCTGAATATATATATTCAGTTCAGTGATCCATGAAATGTCTTATATGCCTTTGAGATAATAGAAATATAAATGTATTTGTAAAAGATGTGATAGTATATAGAAAATTGCACTACAAACCTTTTCTTTTTCAAGCTTATTAGTATTGATCACAAATACAGGTCACTCTGTCATCATCATCATTAATCAAAGGATGAATATTTAAAAAAAATATTGTATTGGTGCAATGACTTTGTTCTCAAGCTAATTATATTGTCGGCTCTTTTGTTAGGTTGTCATTATTAGCCAAAAAAACAAAATGGGCGTGAGATTGATTTAAGTACATGAGTGATTTTATATGCGTGCTATCAAAAAAAAACAAAAATGATAAGAAACAGTTGAAACCATTGTTGTATAAATAGCACAGAATAGTAACAAATCTGTACAATCTTTTTTTTTGATTTTCCCATGTGTTTTTTAATCATTTTGTATATTTGTCACCTTCTCAGAGTGTTACTTATATAATTCGAAACAACAAATGATTGAAACAAGAACGAAATATGATAAACATAAATTGTTTCTCGTTCATTTAGCTTAATATAATCAGATAGAAATGATGAGTATATGATTGATAGAAAATATGAAAAATGACAATTTCTACATCATATTTGAGTATTACACGATGAGTATGTTACATAACTTGGTTCATGACTGCTTATTTTTTATCGTTCTAATTTTGTTCTACTAAGATAATATCTTATTGGAGATGATCATTCAGTTCAATTTCTTGTGCTACAGAATATGAATTACATGTCTTATTATTCATTTATTTTTTACAAATGAACGACCCGGTCATCCATGTTTCTTTTTACTACTATTCATTTTAAAATATCATATGCTTCACTGGTTTTCTAATAGCTATTGATAAGAACACAACAGAAACCTGCGGTTTTTACCATTCAAGAGAGAAGATTTGAGGTCATCATAGTAGATCGAAATTTGATTGGTAGATGATTGATCAGTTTGACGTGTTTTTAGGGGCAATTTCCAAAAATAATATTTTGAAGTTATTTTCCTTTCGGTTTATACTTTTAATAACATTAATCGATAGACGGAGATCTTCTTGTTTGGTCTACATAAGGCTGACAATCATAGTTTGTTTCATTCGAGAGTTATAAGACTTTTCCTAACACTTCCGCTTCCAGTCAATAGACCTGTAATCACCTGCAAAAGCAGCTAGGCAGAGATAATTCATCGTACTGACTAGAATGATGTTGTTTGCTTTTTAGGCTCCATATGATGTAATGCTGTTGTCTAAATAATTCTGAAATTTCCATTTCTTTGTTACATGGAAGCTGATTGTGGAATTTCAGAAATATTGGGATAACAGTAGGGTACTCACTGTTCAATGAACTAAAATCGCGAATTCAAGGAAAAGTTTTATTACACTTGAAGAGGATAAGATAAAAATGTTAACCTTGCATGGATCGAAAGGGAAATAACTTCAGAATATCATTTTCGACAATCTCTAATAATAACTCATCTGATCGATCAACAATTGACCAATCGAATTGTGCCATATTTCGATAGTCTCAGGTTTTCTTTTTTGAACGGTGAAAGTCGTAGGTTTCTATGATGTTCCTATCAAAAACAATTTAGAACATAGTGAAGCCCATCATAGTTTGAAAATAGATAGCAGCTTTAATTCGTAAAGTCTTGTGGACAACACGAAATGTTATAAGTCTTGTTATTCGTATTAATAAGCTATGAGGTTCTGGCGTACAACATATTAGTTCATTGATATTTTTTTTCCAAAGTAACGTTTTAGTCAATCCATTCTTGATTGGATAGTATTTGAGATTTCATATTTAGATATCTTAGATGATTTAATAAAAACTTAGACAACATTGAATAACTAACTATGAACCATATGGGTGTTGTTCTTTTAGCAAGATGAGCTAATAAATGAAAAGAAAAGATTTAAGACCTAGTCAAAAATCAATTAATTTTACAATCTCTACACCTTTTGAAAATAGTAATCAAAAGAACATTACTAGCTTTCCCAACAGTTCTTCTTGTTTGATAATGTATATTTGTTTCTGTGTTACTTATTATCGGTGCTGTTTTTACTCTAAGCACATATATTCAAGGTCATTTTGATAAATATCGAACAGCATAAAAGAATGATTTACATAGTGTATTTGGACTATATTCAAGAATGTAAATCTCATCAATATCTTACCAGATTGTTTATAAACGTAATTGTTCGTATGACGATAGTCGAAATATTTTAAGAGCAATTATTTCTGATATGTCGTAAGGCTATTGCATAAGCTGATTCTTTTCTTCAAAATAATCTTTTAAGTCAAGCAATTTCATTTTTTTTTTAGTTTTGATTGGATCATGTACTACTGTAATATTTTGTTTAATATCCTATTATGAAGAAATAAGTGGTGTAGAAAATTATTTAATTATTGTTGCTAATATTACAATTCGAATTATGTGTCCCATATTCATTCTTGTATTAAAGTTAATCAAATAGAATTCATCGGAAGCAATATAAAACATTATAGATTTTTATATTTTTACTTTGTGTAGTATTTTTAATGTATATAGAAAATAGAAACAATAATAAGGATAACAAATGTCATGCAACAAATGGCAAATAATAGACACAAAGAAAACAATTAGTTTTCAAAATATCACTTGTCACGTCTTTGACTAGCTTGACATCTACTACCATGGCTACTTGCTCAGCCACGAGAACTACCAACATGACTCTCTCGGCCATCACTACCACGAAAACTACCTAAATATAAATATATCAGCGAAGTTGAAAGACAAATCATCTATTCACCGAGAAAAAATAGTTGCAATTCTTATGTTAATTATATCTTCATAATAGAAACACATGTCTCCAAATTTGATTACTTATTCTAAAAGTGCTCGAAATTTTCTATCATTCCGTTTATTCATGTTTTAGTTGACACGCATGCAATATCAAAACAAATTGATTTCGATGAAGGTACTTTCATTATCAGAGTTCCACAAACTTGTTTTAGTCATTGTTATCAAAATCAGTTTTTGAAAAACTTTTTATTACTATAGAATTATTTTTTTTAAAGTCATGATAAATGGTGCTCCAGAAGTTCTGCAACGATTTTAAAATTCATCTTCTTGTAGTTAACAAGAGCAAACTCTTTGCAACTTTGGCAGATTATTTTACCTACTCAGTATTAAAACATTACAAATCTTGAAGACCATAGCTTTTACTAAGGATGAAAAATTGTGACAACACTATCATGTAGTGTCTTGCCGATTTTCCCAATCTTCTTGATCATTATTTTTAAATAAAAAAAATTTGAGAATAAAAATAAACGCATATCAAGCTATCCATGTTCATGCATTTCATTACCATCATGATCGATTACTAATTATGATCATGCTAGTATTTTATCAACCATTGGTTGACATACAGAAACACTAATTTTGATCCATTCCTTTTTCGATGTCGTTTTCCAGTTGTTGCATATTTTATTTTATTATTGCTGTTTTACGAGGTACATCTGATCTTGGTAAGTCTTTCATCTCGTTTCTCTCCAATATTCTCCAAATTATTAGCCTCAAAGCATTTTGACTTGCACAACAAGGTGAACTTTCGGAGAAAAGAAAAAATTCTGCAATTTCTTTTGCTGCCTATGATGAATGTAAGTTTTTAAAATGTAATGCCAAGGAATAAAATGCCTTTTTATCTATAGCAGACGGTTAATATGGCGTTCTGAATAGATTTAGTTACAACAGACGGTTAATATGGCGTTCTGAATAGATTTAGTTACAACAGACGACAGTTTATGATTATTTATATTTCGCGCATTAGCACATGTAGAAATGAAAATGTGTTTAGTAACAAATAAACTTTCTGTTCTGACAAGTCTTCATTTTAAGCTATTGAAAAGCTAATTAAATATTACAAGACACTGTTGTCAGTTCCTGATGTAGGTAAAGCTATCGCCTCAAATTTTGTAGTTATTTTAAATCGTTTCAGAATTTTTGGAACACTCTTCATCTTCGAAATGAAATAGGACCAGATAGTTTATTAGAACTTGCATTGCTGAACATTGAACGTGAATTTCAAACTAATTATGGTGAAATGATAAATGAACTCATAGCATTAAAGAACAAAAAGAAAATAATATTTTGGTTGAACTGATAAATAGTTTTCTATAATGAATTTGTAGCACTACTGAGTTTGTTCATATCAAGTTTTAAGAGCGCAAAAAATAAACATAATAAAACCAAGGGGAAAGGAGCGAAAATGCCGTACTTCAGCGTACTTCCTGTACTTCCAAACTATGTTATAACTGTGCATCAGATCTCTTTATCTATTTCAAGTCTACTATCGATCTGTGTTACGGTATGTTAGCCAGAGTCCAGTCTACGTAAGTCTATCTGACAAGAAAGTCCAAATACTTCATGGTACTTCCGAATTGGAAGTACCATGAAGTATTTGGGCTTTAGGGTGAGGTTGACTTAAGTAAGCTGGACTCCGACTAATATACCGTAACACAGGTCGATAATAGACTTGAAATTGATAAAGAGATCTGATGCACAGTTATCACATAGTCTGGAAATACAGGAAGTACGCTGATGTACGGCATTTTCGCTCCTTCTCCCTTATAACAAAACACTAGGACAATAGTAGCAATTGCTAAGCCTGAAACACAAAATCTATAAAAAAGACTTGAAACTGACCGTGAGTCTTTATTGTTCTATGCTTGTGCTTTTAGAACTCACTTGCCACCAAGGGAGAAACGGCAGACTTGAAGTACATCCAAGTACTTTAAAATTGTATGAGAGTACTTTGAAAAACACTTTAGAATTACAAAAGAGTACTTTAAAATTACAGAAAAGTACTTTAAAGTAGCTCAAAGTGCGTTTAAGTAGTGTAAATTACCTTCAAGTACAAAGTCTGCTGTTTCCCCTTGCTTGCCACACTGAAAAAAATAGAGTCTGATCCGTAATTATTAGCTTTCCCAAACGAAATACAGTCATTACTCAACACCTCATTTAAAAGAAAATCAAAATTTAATTTATATATTAAACAAAATGTAATTGTGAAAAAGTCTGAAATGAAGAAACGAAACTTATATTGGCAAAGAAAATAATATAATATGAAGCATTAATACAAGTGCACCAAGAGAATTCAACATCAGAAACAGTACAACATTATCATTATGAGAGCAATTACAAATGTATGGTAACATAAGGAAAGTATAAGTAATTAACAAGGAAATAAATTAGAAGAAAAGACGATATTTTTATAGCTTATTTATTACTTTTATATACAAAGACATTATCAATAGTTAATACAATAGAAATGAATGAAAAGGAGAACAAAAAAAAACAATGGAAGAATAGGACAGTGCTAGCGAAGTAAACAAAGGAAAAAATTCAAAAAAGAAAACTTCATACAGTAACACCGTCTTGTTCGTTCCACCATAAATAAATAGCAAAAAGAAAACAGCGATTAAAATTAACAAAGAACTGTAGGCGCGAATTTTTTATGGATATTTATTATTGTATAGTCTCGTGGAGCCAGTTTGGTTTGACAAAATAACATAAGTTTTAAAATAAATAAAGACTACAATAGAAAGACAAAATAAATAATTTGAAAAACAATTCAATATGATATTCCTTCATGCTTGTCAATCCTTAACATGATGTCTCTTATTAATGGCCGCCTTAGTCTTAGGTTTCTTAGTCTTAGATTTTCTAGTAGTGGTTGCTACTGTAGTTCTAAATGGAGTGGATCTTGTTGTTATTGTTGTGGAGGCTGTTGTTGTTGTTGTGGAGGTTTTTGTCGTTGTTGTTGTTTTTGTGGTTGTTGCTGTTGTAGATATTGTGGTAGATGTGGTTGTTTTTGTTGTTGTTGTTGTGGATGTTGTTGTGGTTGTTGCTGTTGTAGATGTTGTGGTAGATGTTGTTGTTTTTGTTGTTGTTGTTGTGGATGTTGTTGTGGTTGTTGCTGTTGTAGATGTTGTGGTAGATGTTGTTGTTTTTGTGGTTGTTGTGGATGTTGTTGTGGTTGTTGCTGTTGTAGATGTTGTTGTTTTTGTGGTTGTTGTTGTAGATGTTGTTGTTGTAGATTTTGTCGTGGTTGTTGCTATTGTAGATGTTGTTGTTTTTGGGGTTGTTGTTGTGGATGTTGTTGTTGTAGCTATAGGTTGCGAACAACCATAGAAGTTTCGAATTGCTTGAATATCATAGAAACTTAAAGTGTCGGTTTCTCCAAACGTTATACTCGAGTTAAGTGCCACCAGGGTATCGGAGCCGTTTATACTAAAAAAGTTTCTACCATAATGCATTATTGAGTCAAAATCATAAGGTGTATTCACAGTATCCACTTCACTGGTATTATATTTTCGGAAGTTATTTTCTTTGCCTAACCAATGTTAACAAATCGAAATATTTTTATGATTTTAAAATAAGAATTTCAATGAAATAAAATTTATCTAACCTGGTATTATATTCTCCCAAATGACTCTGACATAATCATCGCGATCTGGTCGTGATTGTTCATGACGGAAGCCTAAATTGATAGAAAAATTAGACTTAAAATGGTACTCTTCTTAATTAATTAGAATTCAACTTCGCTAGTGTCGATCGATATAGACAATATCTATCACACATAGTAAATGATATCCAATTCAAAATGAGGAATTTTCATGTCTAGCTGTATTTTAGATCGATTTTATCCCGTAGGTAAAGAGACAAAGTAAAAATATCGAGAAAAAACTTATTATAAGTGACACTTTTTGAATACTAGGAGAATACTAATAAGATTCAAACTAAAAAAGTATTCATTTTAGAAAATGGCATTGGGTTTTTACTTTGAATAGTTAATCAATATTCATAACAGAATACCAAACTTAAGAGATACTTTTCTTCAGACCGAAAATTGTTAGATTTGGCAATTTTCGTTTTTCTCTGCTCTATATATGATTTCAAATGTTCTCTATCTATTGGAAACAGTTCATGCATCACAATATAACTCTATAAAGCCAAAAGACTAAACAAAATGTAACTTTTTCGCTGAAAAATATACAAGTTTACGCAGTATTTCGTTGTTTTTGAAAAACGTTAGATTTTTACACCGAAAAATGTAGAATCGCCCCTTTTCTTAATCACAATACATTCGATTGAGCTGTTACTTTCTTCTTATCACATTAGAAAGTATTCAGAGTTGTAACTTTTTTTTCTTCTTTGAAATATGATATACCGCTGGTTCTTACCATAGTTTACCAAACAATAAGTTCCTTTTTTTAGAAAAACAAAATAACAGAATATACATTTTGTAGGATGAACTCAGGATGTCGGTTTTTTTCTGTACGAATAAAGAATTTAGACAATCAACGCAGTGTCTGGCATCTATAAACACAATGTTTCGCTTTATCAAGCATGTTGCGATTGAGAATCAAGGCAATAAGAAAAGAAGGAGACAATTCGCACCGTTATGACCCGAACATCTCCTACTGAAAAGCATCTAGGCATTATAAATCTATGACAACTTTTCTCTACTCATCGCGATGTATTTGCTTTAAAATCTTCAAAATTTTTTGTTAAGCTGTTATCAAAAATTGCCATCAAGAGGTGAATTTCCTTTAAGACTTTTCAAATTTCAAATTATCATGATCAAGATGAACACCTTTGAACTTCAATTTGTTCAAATTCTAATCTTAAGACAACTAATGACAAGCTATATACATATAGTTTTACGAATATTTCTTTAAAAGTTTCTCAGACTTCTGTTGAGCTCTATTATGTCTTGAACAATAGTGTATTTTGCTTTATTGTTTGCTTTCTATTGATATTTCGATTAAGTATATAGTTTAGACAGTGGTCAATACTTAGACAAACAATAAGAAAAAAGAATGTATTGTATTACCTAATGTATGGATTAATTCATGCATAATTGTGCCTGTGTAAAGACAACCAGTATTTTGCAATGTTACCGTTCGATTCAATGTATATCCTGTGAATCGGCCAACCTGGAAAAATTGAAATATAAATATATTAAAATATAAATAAACAATTCTAGTAAATTACTGACATAAGATGAACAGCCTATTCCGTTTTCAATTATGATGTAATATTCTCCATCAGAAGCAACTTTCTCACGAAATTGTACACAAAGTACATTATTAACTGCTGTTAAGTTTTCTAGTGTTCGCATAGCATTAATAATTATATTTTGTTCTTCAGTACCTACAAGTAAACATTCTTTTCACGGGATTATTTATATATTATGTCAAAGATAGAGATTAAAAATAATCTATTATTGAAAAACTATATAAATATGACTTTTTTACCACATATTACATTTCAACATCAAACACTATTATTACATGTCAAAAAGAAGACTTACTGTAATTCGATGAAATAGTATATGGCACAATTCCACTTGGCCAACGTACATAATCACCAAGCACTGCTACACCTCTCTAGATTGTATTGAAACAATGAAATTATTATTAGTTCATGAACAGAAGATGAATTGTCAAACTTACACGCATTTTAGGAATACGTATGTCACCTTCGAAATATCCACCTAAAAAATCACAAGCATATATATATATATATATAGTATTGTTCGTCGTATCAAACAAAATGATCAGTTTTTTTTATTATTCGCTAGTAAATCACATTTATCTATTGTTTTGTAAGGGCACCAACAATATAGTTTTGAATAGTAGGTGATACAATGTTCTCATAAAAAGTATCTGATTTTAAGTCGTTTTGTTCGATTTAATTAGGAAAACTTCTAATCAAGATTAAAAATAACGATTTTATCCAAGATACACTAGCTATTATGAATGATTAAAATATACAATATTAATCATTCACAAAATTAAATATTAATAGATATGAGATTTGATATCAGGCTCAACGAATTCTAAAAATACTATATAATCTAATGAAATGCATTTAATGTCCATTATGAAATGTGATTGAACGTCTTGTAAACATAGACTACTTCGATATTTGACTACTAGATTATCACAAAATCAGACCAAAAAGGGTCAATTAATTTCATTTTATAGGCCTACATATTCATCCGAAATCAATATAACTAGATTGTTTTTTTTTCATTTCAGGAGATTTTTCGATATAATACTTACCCATTTGTTCAAAAATTCTGTTTCTCTTCGACGAATCCTTAATTTCAACAATCAAATATCATAAATTATCTTAAAAGAAAAATCATCTGTATAAAAACTAACCATTGGTATTGGTAACCCATGTAAATTTGTTGTAAGAGCAAAAACAATCAGGACCAATAAACATATATTAGCCATTTTATATCCTTGATCTTGATTAGTAATATAATGCCTTTGATCAATTCCTATAATATAAACTTGTGCTTTGTGGTACTCACAAATTCGAAAATTCTAATGAATAATATTTTACATCTGCTATCTTATAAAAATCATTCTTTACGTATCTTTTCGGAAGCATATAGTTTACTCATAGAATTCTGTCTGCTATAACTCAAACGTAATGCAGTTTCAGAAAAAAACACTAACTGTCTGTATTTATCTTGTATTCATCATCAGATTATAAACACTAAAATAGCATTTTTAATTTTAATAACGAAAAATGTTCGTTAAATTAGTTTTATCAATTATTATAAAAGAAACAGATATTTCAACTGTTGATCGATGAGGAAGTTTTCTGATCTAGTGGCTAACTAAGACATTGTCATGTAATTGAACGACAACAAACAGACTACAGATAATTTAAATAGAGACATTTTACCGAAAACTAACTCTCAATACAACTAATTTGTATTTCGATCTCAAAACCCAAGAAGATTTTAATGTACACATTTATGAATGCTGTCATAAGGTTTTAAATAGGAATAGTAAATCTGATGTGAAAGAATATAGTGTAGCTTAGTTTGACATATTGTCTTCTTATTCACTCTTGCATGTATATTGTGTCAAATATGCAAAAGATTATTTTCAAGAAGGTCAAGTAAAATTATATAAATCTCACAGATATCGATTGAATTGTTCAAGAGTTATTCACGTTTGTTTTCTCGATTGACTTTTGGAGCACCTAGTATTTTTTTTCATTTTGAGGACATAGAAACGTTGAATGAGTGGTGAAAGTTTTTTGAAAAAAATTTTTTTTTTAAGTGTTTATTTAAACGATGAGGAGGTGGACGCGGGCAAGTTTTAAAAAGACTGATACTTGACACCACACATGTATCTCAAAATTATGGTACTAACACATAATGAATGGTTCTAGCACCATGGAACTAACAGTTAAATTTGTGATCTAAATAGTATTATACTCAGTGGAACATGATGCATAATCGTTCTCGACAAATTTTGGATTAAATTCTTTGATGTCACATCAATTAATTTTTTACTTCTTTTTTTTTGATTTTATTGTTCATATTGATCTTATCAAGACGAAAATCAAATAGACAACAAAATTTATTCAATAAAAGAAACAATCAACATTAGCTCAAACTAAAGACAATAGATAAAGAACCTTAAAACGGCTCTAGAAAAACAAAACACTGGGGCTCTATTTCTAGGTAACAGCAATTGAAATAGAATAGTAAGAAAAACTGGAATGCATACACTAAGACATTCGTTTATTTTTTTCTTCTATGAGTAACAGAAAACCCTGGGAAAACATTAGAATTTTTTTATTTATTGTGTTTAATTAGACTTTATTTTGTGAAATTTTGTCTAAATCAATGAGTTTATGTTGTTTATAGAGGTTTATTTCCATTAGAATATTTTTTTTCAAAGACAATGTTTTGAAAATGAATTCGTACATTCCAAATTCACCTAAACTTGAATGTCTACTGTGACATGTAATATCTTATGACCAACTTTCATAGAAAATTCACGAGTGCTCTCGATTGAAATCTAGTTTGTTTTGCAAGTTCCGAGCAACAAAAAGAAAAGTAAAGATCTTTAAGCTTGTGTCTTTTGATTAGTATTTTTTATTGATGTTTATTTCTCTTAGAGTTTCATGTTGCTCTATAGATGATATGTAAAGTGCAAATAAATTATACTCGTATAAGTTATGTTGATTTATATTGCAAGAAACAAAAATGAAAGAGTTTTTAGCTAAAATAGTTCCTGTGTTAAAATAATAACTGTCTTCTCGCGAAATTTCAAAGTCCAGGAATTTAAAATATGAATTCGCTTTTTCATAGAAATGCTTTCGAAAATCATTTTTCGATGTCATAGAAAAACAACGAGGAAAATAGGACTACTCTTTCTAGTAAAAAAAGAAACATTTCATAAAAATCATAAAAACATGATTTTTAATCAATGTGATGTAATTAATAGCGGTGGAATTTGAATCCAGTTTTGTATGTATTACATTGATTATACTAAATTTCTTCATGATGTTGAAATAGGTTTTAATCAAAAATAATCAGAATAATCGATGAAGTTTCGATATTTTTTATCAATTTTTGTTGATAATCGATTTAGAATCGAGTTTTCGTATCACGTTTTTTTCATGATCTGTCTATTAAAAAGAACAAGTACGTGACAGTTTTCCTTAATGCAAACGGAACTCATGTTGTATGTTTGTTTATACTACCACCAATTTACTCAGAATGAAACTTGTGATTTTCAGTTACAGCTATAAACAATTCAAAAGAATGTCTTTTTTTCAAGTTTGAACTATTCATTAGAAAGATTCAAATTAACGAGACAAAAAACGATTTCACAATATATTTTACTAAAAAACGTTTTTCAAGCACCACCTATAAAATAAATTTATCTCATAACTGACACCGACTTGAACTCTGTGGCTAGTACAGACGGTTCAGACACATTATCATTACTGAATTCTGTCACTGTCACTTGTAACAGACTTCAAAAACATTCACTCGTTTTGATACCCTACAATCTATTGCAATATATTCAAAAGAAAACTGCCCTGCGTTATGCCGACCAATATACCGTCGATAGTTTTTCCGTAGTCATTACCTGAAAAATTTGGCTTTATTATTACATAAAACAAAACTATTTAATAATTTTACGGCTAATCAAAAAGAAATCTTACCTGGGTATATATGAAAGTAAAGATGATGGATCGAGCTATGTATCACTTACTGATGTCGGCGATGGGTATTGAACTTTCTATAAGGTAAAATACCTCTGTATACGTCTTGTTGTCGTTACTGAATAATAATGAAGAGTAGCAGATAGGACACACTTTTATAGGACCCCGATCTCTTTAGACATTGCTTACATTAATATTATTATCATTTTTTTTAATATTATTTATTGACAGGTGTCGATATTGAAAATAATAAATCATGAAAGCTCGATATGTACTTAAGATAATCTTATTGACGATGAGTAAAGATATATTATTGTCTTGTTACCTTTAGTTTTCCTTTGACTCTTTTAATGCTTTTTTTTGATTGAAGATAGTTTTTCTCATTTGTACAATATCGACAAAAGATTTCACATTTTCAACTGGCATCACTTAAGCTTTGTTCAGCAAGTCTATTGGAGAAAGCATGGCTCAATCAAAAATTACATTGAATTGTTTGCTTGATAATCGATCGATAGCTATTACTTCCGAAAGATAGATCAAAAATTGTTTGTGAAGCAGCATTTGTTTATAAGTAATTTCATAGGTTTTACTATGAAATGATAAGATCAATTTTTTTTTGTATCGATAGAAATAGACATGAAATTTTCATTAAAAAGTAATTATTGAATAAGAGACATTAGTTGGGTATGTCATCAATAAATATACATGAAAAATAAACTCGTAAAAAGACATTACATTAAATATTATTAATCTTTCGTTAATGCAAATTTTAATAAATGGAGACCATCAATTATGTCTTTCAAATATTATATCAAAGTTGAAAATAACGAAATAGAAAAAAATTATACGTAATTTTTCGTCTCTATAAAATACAATCATTTTATGCTCGATACTGGCTTGTACCTTACTACGAATAAGCATACATCAATATTCGACGTAAAAATATAATTATTTTTATGATACTAACTATGAGTAACTGGATACTTTTATGAAGGCTTTTGATTTTAGGCACACACTATTGAATAAGTCATGTTTTTCTCTTCACATTATATACAGTCACTACTTTCGCGTAGGTAATAAAGATATTTTTTTCAAAAACACTAGTTCTAGTGTTTATATGTACTGATTAAGAACATACTCAATCAATAAAATATTCGAAATATCAAAGAAAACAAATATTAGGTATCTTTGCATTATGATACAAAGTAGTAATATAAGAAAGGCTATTCTTTATTTCCGTTACATTTTTGTAACTCTCAATAGTAGAATTTTTTCTTTGTTCTATACACTTATCTTTCTTAGCAATCGATGAAGATAGTAGTTTCTGAATTTTTATAATTACCGCTGATATAGTTATCTTGTTCTAGGAAAGAGATGCACATAAAAAAAGAACAAGTAAACTAACGTCTATTTTCAGCAAAATCCCATCTCAATTACCTGATCTGAACTGCAGTTAGTAATCTCGTAATCTTGATTGAATCAATTCTGCAGCTTTTAAATTAGAAAACTTCGATATTTGGTTTACAATCAAGTTTTTCAAAGTCAGTTGCCATCTCAATTCACGAATGAGGCTATGTAAAAGAGTAATAAATTATCAAATCTACATTTCTTGATAATTTTACAGCTAATCGTGCAATCAAACCAGTGAACATTCGCCATAACAATAATAAAACTGTATCCATGCATCAGTAAAAAGGTTGAAAAACATCGGCAGCTGTAAATACTATATAGAACTTGAACAACCCTACTAGGTATATGAAAAGGAACATAGTCATGAAAATAGCTATACATATATCTATTTTCTCTAAAACTATTAATCTTAGATTAAGTCCATAGAAACTGACTATCTTAAAGGAAATGTAAATAATAGTTTCATGATAGTAAACTTTCGTACAGAGCTGGATAAAGTACTAGAGTACGATTTTTATGGTACTCGTACTCGAGAAAATTCACACTTGCCCAGCTCTGCTTTCGTGCAAAACTTGAGTTCTATTAAATGACGACTATTTTAATAAAATAAAAATCATTGTTTAATTACCAACGACACTTTGAGATGAATCCTCATATTCTCGATTGACTTTACCACTGCAACTACCTCTTCTTCTTCTAGAAGTACCACGTCTTAATCACATATATGATTGAAATAAACAAAAAATTAAAGATAAATATTAGTCTTATATCTCCTCGTAATAGACTCATTTGTAAAACTTTGATGAAATGGAACAAACATTTGGACCAGAAGAAATGAGGGTCTTTTGTATTTTACTTTTTTATCATCTAACGCGTTTTATTGAAAAAAAACATAGTATATCGCACAGTGCAGCGAAAAATTTCTACAATCTACAATACAAAGCTTATTCTATATATGTACCTTTAGCTTTTAAAATAGATAGAATTCTGTATGGCCCAATGTCAATGCTGTGAATGAGTATTTTGGTTTTTATACACGACAATTTCCATTCTTTTATTTCTTCCTTTAATGAGTCATATCGAAGGCAATCATCGATGGCTACATTCAGATTAATTGATATGTGCGTCAATTATATTTTTGTGAAATACAGAGCAAAAAAAAGAAGTGTTGAAGTATATAGAATAGAAATTTCCACTCCTTCTTCGTTACTGTTGATCGTATATCAATAGCAGTTCGTTACAATAGATTAATTACTTTCTCAATCCATCTCTGTAGAATTAAATAAAAGAACGTTGAAGTAATATGTACCAAGACATACATAGAATACAACAGTCTTCTTGTGATTAACAACAACAGCTACATTGTGTTTCACACTTTAATGTTGCAAGGATTGTGCGAACAGTTCTTTTATCTCACTCTGATGTTATTTGTTAGAGGGATAAATGAACTTCATAATAACAACTCACATCTGTATAAGTGTGTTATACAATAAAAAGAAATTAAATTTGAAGACCGATAAAAGCTAGCTATTTGAATGATTAATGATGGCATGACGCTCTACTCCAGTTTCCCTATACACATCTCTGAGAAGTTCCTATTGGAAGTTCGAAGAAGTCAAGAAAAAAAGAGAAAATTGTCGGAGAATTTTTCAGCGAGTACGTGAAAATCCCTGAGGATTCCATAAATGATTGTTCAAAAACTCTCAAGGGGTTTCTCAGAGTCTCCACAAAAATTCTCTTCAGAAATTTTTTGTTTACTCTTGACTTCTTGGGGTTTTCGATAAAGATTACATCACAAAGTTTCTTTTCTTTTTTTTAAACTCCCTTGGGCCTCCCCGAGAATTTGTCTAGAGAGAGCAGACTAGGACAACAGTCTAAATTGCTAAACAATTACGAAGCATGATTAATGAAAAAAAGTAAAACACTATGATTCATTAATTGATAAAATAAAAAAATGAAATTGTTGTATAATAAAGAAATAACTTTTTCACAGCATCGATCTGATCACATAGAATTTTTATTGTAAATTGTAGAAATTTTCACGCTGCGTTTTAAGGTATATATATTATGGTTTCTAGCAAAACGTATTGAATGATGAAAAAATACAAAATACAAAACCTGACCACTTATTCTGATTCATCCGTTATTTCTTCAAATTTTACAGCTTAGTCGTTTAAAATTAGAGTATCTTCTTAATATTTAAATACAAGTCAATTAGTTCATTTGTTGACTTGATAATATTAAATAATTAATATGAACATCCATACTTTCTATTAAGAAATTATATTTAAAATTAGATGTCACTATATACAAATAATATGAAAATCAATGACGACGATTGTTGTGGGTTTTTTCTTTTTCTGTTGTTTTGTAATACATCCTTGCATTTTGAATTTTTTTTTACCACCTTGGAAATATTATTCATCTGTATTTTATTGAAGGCATGGAATTGTTGACATGGGTATTGTGATACGATATTTATGCTCTGAATAAGATATGTATATAAAAACAACGTTTAGTCAGAAAAGTAAAGCTAATAAAAGGAAGAAATATTATTTACCTTCACTCACATTGACATACTATTTTCTTACGATTCATTTCGATTTTTACTTACTCACTGCTTCTTTATTTTTTTTGTATTATCTATCATCGTTTATTAATATATTTTTGAAGAGTATTTTCGTTTTTTTCGACAACTATTTAAAATCAAAGATGGAATGTGATTATCAAAAAGATTATATTGAGAAAATATGTATTCTACAATATGATATATTACTTAAGGACAATCAATCAGCTTTAAATGAATATATTGATTTTTGTTCGACTCGACAAATTTTATCAATTTTTGATTTTAATAACAATCAATTACATCTTTTCGGTAGTTCCATTTCAACTAAAGAAGCTGGTAGAATATTGTATAATTATCATTCGAATATAAATTAATCAATAAAAGTAATTTCTCTTTCTTTTAATTTTTATTTGAAAAGAAAAACGATTCTTCGATTTGCAAAATGAATTATTGATCGAAAATATAAAAGCACGAAAAATTGATGGCATTCTATGGTGGTATGAAGCATGGGATGCTACATGGCAGCAATACAATTTTAATCTAACTTCCAATATAGAATATCATTACAAAACCAATATATCATCTGTAAGAATATTTCTTACAAATCATAAAATTAGTTTTTGTTTTTATGTATAGGTTATGCTTTTGAATGAGTTAGGTGAACGAGTAAAAATTGATTTTCATAAACTTGAAGAAATTTATGGTACACGTATAAAACGTATCCGTCGATCGAAAATTGATGAATTTCAACCTATTCACTGGAAACTCACTCCTTTAAATATGTAAGTTGAATTTTACTTGTATCTATGCTTTTCTGATAACCATTGTTTAGAGAACGATGTTTACTTGATTCTGAATCAAATGAATATGTTTGGATAAAAGATAATTTTGATACAAAAATGAAAGGACATTATGTAAATTTGCATAAATTAAATTTTTCTTCAAAAATCTTTACATAATATACGTCTAATGATTTTCTAGACAACATTCATAACTATTGAACGTATTCAAAATACGAGATTGTTTAAACAATTTTCTATATTACATGAAGAATATTTGACTAAATATGGCAAAGTTGATAATGGAACTATGCGTTTTTTATATCATGGTTGTCCTGAATCAGCTTCGACAAAAATTATTGCACGAGGTTTTAATCGTAGTTATTGTGGTGTTAATGGTACGTTTTATTTATTCACTGTATATATTGAATTAATGAATAAATTTTATAAGGATGTGTCTATGGACGAGGAGTCTATTTCTCAACCGATGCTAGCTACTCAGATAAATATGCAAATCTGAATGAAAAAAAGGAAAAACGTATGTTTTATAGTCGTGTTCTAATAGGTCGAAGTATGAGTGAGTAAAAAACTTTCTTTAAATTTAATTCATATGCTTATTTTATTTTCATATATTTAGTTGGTAATTCCACAATGTGTGAGCCAGAAGGTAAATAAGAAAACAAACCCCATGCATTTAGAACTGTTTTATCAAAGTATTACTTTGTAGATGGATACGATACGACAACTAACGGAACTCATATCTTTGTATGCTATTACGATAGTCAGGTAGACAGAGTAAAATTAAAAGAAGAATGAATGATAATATTTAATCTTTCGTTTTCAAGTGCTATCCAGAATATCTTCTAACTTATATGTGATATCAATTCCAATTCTACTTTGAACTTTATCTATGAATTCCAAATGCAAAGTATATTTACAAATATGATCATAGGAAAATAAGCTTTTTTTCTTGAAGTTTCAAATGGTGATATAACAAAAGTCTAGACTTCGAATAATTGCCTTGGTTTCATTTGAATACTAAATGAACCTTTTGGTTTAAAATTCTTCAATGAAAATTATTTCCAATGGCTTTTTTCTCTTCAATCTGCAAAAAATTTATAAAAAATTAGAGTCAACCTCTTGCTTTGATATTATTACGAATAAAGCATGATTCGCATTGTGTTGATTAAGGTGTTTTTATATTATATTCATGCTTTGCTTCTTTTTTTTTTACTATCAGCAACATAAAGAATACACATAGTAATGATGTTTGGCCAAGTAAATAAAATTAAATAATGAATGATATCGTTTTGTTTTTTTTTTGATGAAAAGAAAAAAAACTGTAATGGCAAACCTAACAGATGTGATCTAATAAATAGAAGACATATCTCCATCAGTTGCGCTTCTTTTTAAGCTGAAAAAACAAATGCTTAATCCAATGTGTCTGCTTATTCACGAAAAATTTGCCTAAGAAAGAAATATTTTGAAGGATCAACGAGTCAATCAGATCACAGGTAAATAAAAAATACGGAAAAGAAAAAAAGTCACAGTCTTGATTGAAAAAAAAAATGAAGAAAAAAAACAACACAAAATAACGTCAGAAAGAATATTATGTCGATGCTTGACGAAAGCCAAGTGCTTTTTGCTTACTTCGTAGACATATTCGTATCTGCATTAAAGATTCAAGATAACCTAGAGCAAATGTGTGCACAGTCGATGGATGCATAAAACTTGTTCCTAATTCAAAAAGTGAGTTTGATGATTGATTATCATCATCATTTTTCTTTGTTGATAATGAAGATTCATTATTGTTATTTTCATCTGATTTTGCTTTTGCTCTAGCAAATTAAAAAAGAAAGAATTTAATTTTAATTTAGTTTATGACGCGTAGAGCATAGCGAAAGTGACGGCGAAGATATTGTAAGTCCTTCCAAAAAAAAGAAGCTCAAAGAAACATTCCCTCTACTATCACAATGATAAAATTTCGATAAGAGTTGTTTTTTATTTTTATCGACACTTTCTATTTATCAGTAATATTTTCTTACGAAAAAAAAAACAACTTTATGTTAGAAAAAGTAATAGTGATAATAAAAATAAGAATATTATTATTCAATAGTTCATAAGATAACGCCAACAAAATATTGATTTAATTTTTTTCATCAATCTTAATATGATATTCATTTTACGAAGAATGATTTTTTTTCATATCATTTCACTCCTACGAGTTTTTAAGTTTCCCTGACGAGATTTTCTTGAGAGCAAAATATATCTTTCGAAAATCTTGCCACGAAGGGCTCAAAGGTTCGTAGAGAGGCTGAGCTCCTTCATTTTCCTCTGACTTCGGCTCTATTTAAACATACATTCTTTCTATAGTTCATTAATAACTCCATGTAAGATTGGATTAGAAAGATGACCATATTTGCATTTAGCCGATGGTACCAGTACTCCAATTCAGGTGTGTGTAAAAGAAAAGAAGCCCACTATCTACAAAGAGACTCATACACGCTAATTAAAAGCATTTTTCAAACCTTTCTATTAATGATAACGTTCGTTTTAAAAATTTCAGATAGTTTCACTACCGTTTAGTTTATTCTCTCTTCAAAAGAGGATTCTTTCAGTAGAATTTTGAAATTATTCAGAAAAAAACAAGGGGAAAAAAGCGGATCCTCGGATCCTTTTGGATCCTAGGATCTGAAAGGATCCAAACTGGGATTCAAAAGGATCCGGAGGATCCAAGGATCCGCTTTTTCCTCCTTGGAAAAACTCTGTCGATGAAACGAAAAGATACCATTTGTTCTGATATATCGATGTAATAGTACATGACATTTCGTCTTTTATGTGTCTCCTCTTCTTGATTTTCTTTTTATTTCTGTCGTCTCTAATGTCCAGCGGTCATAACAAACAACTCTTATCGAAAAATATTATTATAGTATTACTTGAAATATGATCAAAATATCAGACAAATGTAGAATATTATTTATACTATCAATTCATATATCGAGGAAGTAACTTTAAGCTAAATATCATCGCCACTACTTTTAGTATGTTCTGAGTAAAATTAATTTACTTATTCGATTGTTGTTCAATATTGCCATCAAGTTCTTTTTCAAGTCGATCACATTGATGATCATCTAATTTAGCTTGAAATCGTATATATAATTCATATTTTTGAATATTGTCTGTAATATTTGTCCATTGTTCATTAAATAAAGATTCAATTTTTTGTAATTGATTCCATAATTTTATTTCATTTTCATTTTCATTTGCTGTATTTGATGATGATTGTTGATCAACTGCTTTCTTTTTTGATTTTTTTGTATTTGATGAACGATTATTTGTATTTTCACTACTATCAACTAATAAAGATGTTTTATTAAATAATGTAGCTAAAATTGATTTTATTGATAAATATAAACTATAAATATAAGATATAAATTCTGTATAAACAGAATAATATTCAAGTGGTGATTGTTTCCCAGATAAATCCATCAGAAAATTTAGATTATTATTATTATTATTATTATTATTATTTTCAAGCTTTTCTTGACAATGTTTTTGAAATAATGTTTTGTCTAAAGCTTGTAAAAGTAATTGATATGATTTTTCAAGTTGTTTTACAATATCATTTATATCTTGATCAATTTTATCAAAATGAACTGTTGTATTTGATAATGATATTGTAGTTATTGTTGATGTTGCTTCTGTTGTTTTATTTAATGTTAATCCTTCAAGTAAAATTTTAATAAATAATGGTATTGATTTGCATAATTCAAGTTCAATAATTGATTGAAGTTCACATTGAGTTGTAGTTTCAACGGATTTTAAAGATTTCGTACATTTATCAAAATCATTAAGTATTACATTTAATGCATTGAAAACATGTTCATCAGGCATATGAATAACAAATGTTGCTGATGCAGATTCAGTTTTACTAATTGAAGGATCAATATATAATGTATGAAGAAAACTAAGTATATTTGAACGAATATAACATAGAGTTGTACGTTGTTGAAAATCAATTGTTTGATATTGACGAAGAAATGAATCTTTATATGATGGTGATTGATATGCTGTTTGACCGGCATTATCGGCAAGAACTCGATCAGCATAGTTTATTCTTTCGATTGATTTGTTATTGTCATCGACGAAATCAAAACGTAATCGACTAAAATTAAGATAAAAATTGATTTTTACAAAAGTTAGCGTGTACATCTAGACCAAAACAACACAATGGTTTACACGCACATATACAAAAATCGTTGATTTATGTAGATAAAGTTTTACAATTGTATATTTGTGTCGTATACAATATAAAAGAACTCCATATTCTTCAACCTGAGCCGTGTTATATGATTATCGAACCTTACACAGCTTCCATATGTATTCATCTACCTCAAAAAACATTTTAGAGTCATCAACCGAAATGTCCGAAACTTACGTTCGGCACATACTTAGGCCCGACATTCCTGCCATCTTACCTTTCTTTACAAAGCTTGTACTTTATAGAATATGATCAAACCGCAATCATTACTCTGTATTTCGTTTATTCTTACTTTTAGTTATTTTTTTATATCGTCCTTACCATACGGTCGTCTTATCTTCATCAAAGCTCCTTATCTTACTTCTACAGGCATATATTATTGTGCATATTTAATACGAAAGTTAATAGAGAATTTTAAATTACCGATAATCAATTTTTGGCCAAATATCAAAATCACGTGTATCTTGAAGTTTTAATGTTTCATTGTTATCTGTTTTATAGAATAATGAATGTAATGAATTATTATTTTTTTCTTTATTATCAAATAAAATTTGACTCGATGAATGTTTAAATACATTCATTATAGCATTATATCGATTTCCATTTTGTATTAAATCAATTATAATTGAACCTATTAATGATTGAATATAAATAAGTGAATAACTAAGATAATAATCAGAAAATGTACGAATTTCATTAATACGTAAAAAATTTCCATATTTATAACAAAACATAATTTGACTCCATGAATCATCAGTATAAACAAGTAAAAGATTTGTTAAATAATTAAAAAAATTCCGGATATGACGATAATTTGTATGTATACGTAAATAATGATCTGTTAATAAATAACCAAGTGAATAATATTGAATATTTTTTATTTCAAGCCGTTCAAATATATCTTTCATTATTGTTAGACAATTAAAATTTAATGCCATTTTATAAATGTATAATTTGGTATCAAAATTCGTTGTATCTTTTTCATAGGTACGATCTAATAAAGTATATAATTCAGTTTGTGATTGATTTGTTTCATCCATTACATTAACTATTAATAGAAGTAATTCAATAGAAAGATGTGATGGAGTTGATGATTGATTAGCTACATCAAGTAAACGTTGAATTAATGAATGAGAATTTTCTTTTAACCATGAACTATGTGCATCACCACATAATCGAGCACAATAGAGTATATTTATTAAATATTGTATATTATTTTGACAAATTTCAGATGTTAATTGATCGATAAGATATTTATGAAGATGTGATCGTTCATCAGATGAAAGATATTCGAATGATCGATATATATCGTACATGACTAAACTAGTAGTTTTTAATGAATATGTCTCAATATAAGATTTGATTTCATTTAAGAATGTATCTGATAGATAAGTAGAAGCCAATGGAGGCAATGGTGTTGAGCTATTTTTGAGTTTTGCAAGTTGCCATCGAAGACCAAGTTCAATACGAGCCAAATGAATACTCCGTAAATCAGTAGTCTCATTGGGAACAGCTATAATATTAATAAAAAAGTAAATGAAATAATACATGAAGAATGTCCTATTGGATAATAAGTAATCTAAGAAATACTTTTAATTTAAAAGAACAAATAGTTTTCATTTTGAAAAATTTGATTTAGTGATGTATTTTATTATTATTGGCAATAGTAAAGAAAAACTCTTTTATATAATATAACACTCAAAAGAATATTTCACGAAGTAATAAATTGTTTCCAAGCCATTTTAATCATCAGCACTCAAATCACTTTCAATCTTTACACAATTAAAATATTCAACAAAACGAATTCATTGAGAAGGTATCCAGTCTTCTAGTGTTTCCTATTCTCAAATATAAATATAAGAACAAAGTTTACTTTTTCAAATAATGAAATTTTCAATATTGATCTCTGAGCATACAAAATCTAGAAAATCTGAAACTTTCACATAAAATTAATCTCGTTGAGAACTTTATTTGTACCAAATGTACACTCAAAAATCGAATTAACAAATATTGAAAGGGCCGGAAACATACTCTTGTCTTTCCATTATTTCCAGGTATAGAGTGCTACGGAGCAAGAGACTGATTAGTCCAGTATCTTTCTTACGACTAATACTAGCTATAGCTCTGAACAAAAAGTCGACCTGACACAGAGTTCTTGTATTCCATTGCTTGAGCTTCTTCCATACACACTAACTAACCACAACTTAGTCAGCATACTATTGAAAGGGTGATCCGAAACGAGAGCCAGCCGCGTTCAAAACCAACATGACGGGCTCTATTCGAGACAAACAGTCGTTAGTCACTTGCCGACCATCATTCCATGGCTGTTGGTACTGAAGTTTTAATGCAGTATCTATTGGCTACGTGTCGAACAACGTAATGATGTGCTGTGGAAAAGTTGAAAGAGAAACATATCGAAAAACATAACGGTGTGGATGTACGTAAAAGAAAGATTCACCTCCACGCCCATATTCACATATACAGCTATAGTCACACCCTTAATTACAGTAATAACTGTATTACTAAGTGAATGTGAAATAAGTAAGCAAACATTTTACTTATGTACTTAGTCTCAATTGGCCAATTAGTTTTTACTGATTTTAAGGTAGTGATTTTAACAAACAACGATGAGTTATCACCTCTACAATCTCAACGACACAATCCAAAGCATTTTTTGACCATTTTTCTCTCCAATACTTTTTTTATGACCTTTCTACCATCAACTAACGTAGTCGCTCAACCACGACGATGACCTGAGAGTTGAGCACAGAATTATGTGGAAAAAATGTACTTAATCAGAAATGAAACTTATCTGAAAGATGATTTATCACTTAACATAACTTCTATCGTTCATGAATAGGTACTGAAATAAACTTGTATATCTTTTAAAAACAAGTATCCTTTTTGAAATATTTCTAATTATATTGCTTATTAAGAAATTATCTTACTTAAAATAAATTGATGAAGATCATTTATTAATTCTTCTTGTTTTGTATTATCAAATTTGAAAAAAGTATCAAATAATACTTCATACCAATTCCAAAGATAATTATCTTCGTTTAAATATTGTTTTGCTAAACGATATGTATTATCTAAATTGCCTGCTTTAAAATTATAAATTAATGATTTATCATGTGTAAAATAAGCTGGTAACATTGATTCATTTGATGGTGATTTTGTTAATGTATCTAAATTTTTTTCAAGAAATATTAATGCTTTAGAAAAATCTTCTTTTAATTCAAGTGAATGTAAATATAATAAACATTCCATTTCACCATATGGTTTTATTTGTTGTTGATTTTCATCGAAAAATTCTTTTTCAAGCATTTTTATTGCCATTGGAATATAAAGTGTTTGTTTTAATTGATTAGAATTTTCATCTATTTGTAAGAGTACACTAATAACAGCCCAATTATAATAAGGAATTTTTCGTGTAAGTTTATAAAGTTTTTGTGCTGTTAATACTTGATTTTTATAATCTTTTGTACGAACATATGCCATAAATAATGAGCATAAAAATTCTTCACTTGTTGATTCACGTTTTGTTGCTGCTTCATATAGCCAAACAACTTTGTCAAATTGTCGTAAATCTTTATAATATTGAGAAAAAAATGTTAAGGCATTTTCATCCACATTTGATGCATCACCAGGTGGTGCAGTACGTGTTGTAGCTGAAGCAAGTGCATCTAATTCATTAGCCAATGTACGTGCATCTTCCTGCCTTTCAAGTTTGAGTAATACAAGACATTTAAGAGCTTTACATGCAGTAAAATTTGCCTGTTTCTTTAATAAACGATCAATTTCTGTTAATGCTTTACGATAACTACAAAATATAAAAAGAATAGATTTAGCATTAGGAAGACCAAAGTTCTATTGGTAAATCAGTATTCTTTCTATGTGGTGACAAGAAACTTTAGCTTCTTATTTTTAAGGAGAATCTCTTTTCTCGATCCAAAAAATTTTTGCTTTTTATTTCTGAAGATCTTTTGAAGTGCACTCTATTACGTACTAATCCCTAAAAAATTCTGAATAAGCTGAGTTTCGAGAACCCTTATCGTAAAAAATATAGATTATCAATCATTGTCAGCTGATTAATGATAAACACAGCTATACATAGTTTCGTTTTCGTGAAGGCCTGTCTTCACTCACACCCACGCTTCTAACTATCTGAAAGACACTAATAAAGTAAACATACTGCATTTTGAACATTAGGTTACAAAAGTTGTATTTTTGAATTTTCTTCTTAATGATAATAGCTAGAAAGAATCTAAAATCTCTAATAAAACTACTTGATTCAGATTTTATGGACAACCAAGACTACCTAAAAAAAAGAACCAGTGTTTTCGTGTCTATTTCAAGCTTTTTGGCAACGGTTTCAGTGGATAGAGTCAAATTGAAATTTCTCAACTCTCTTCATGACCTTCCTTCATCAAACTTCATTTTATAGGGTCTTCTATGCGTTGAATGCAGTTTGATGAAGTACCAAAATGAAGAGAATCTAGACATCTCATCTTGATCTATTAAATAAAACCATTCCTAATTAGTTTCATTAATCTGTATAGTGAATTATTTTAGCTACTCTAACATACAACTGCTCTAAACTTTTGTCCATCACTTTATCGATGAACTCATTCAAAAAATAAACAGATCTTGGTTCATGATCGAGGAATGCTATTCAATCCAATGTGTACTTTTTCTTGTACTTTTCTCAAAATCAATATTTGAACAAAATAATGAAAGTTTTCATACTTCCTTTCTTTTCACACGATATAACTAATCGATCTCAAAACTTTGCTATAGGTACTAAAATCAAATTGGAGCGAAATTTTTTTTTTTGTTTTTCTGTCTTCAAAATGTGGTTTCTATCAAATGTAACAACCTTGAAAAGTTACGAAATTAGTGTGAAACCCTTAAAAGAAAATTTTTTATCTGTTCATATGTTCTGACTTATTTAATCGCTTTAAAAAATTCTTGAATATTAGACAAGTTCACAATGCATACTTATGAATTTCCATGTAATCATAAATGGGACGAAGACGTCGTTCATTAACTTCCAGACGTGGATTTGCAATACGCTGAAGATCATTTTGATGTGAATGTGCTAAAGTTCGCGCTGTAAGCGGTACTCCTGCTGACATCTGAAGAGAACATAATAAAATAACAAAGAATGAAATATATTTTTTCATTGTGTTTGTTTTTTTCTATTCAATTGGTAAATACAAATATTAGAAGCAAGATACATGCACATGAGAATGATAGACAAATAAATGCCAATGAAAGGAGATGAAATAAGAAAACAGAAGACAAGAATCACATGTTGTTATTTTGTTTTCAAAATACTCTATGTATATACATAAATACGATAGATCATCAATAAGATTTCATTTAAATTGAAATACACTCATCAATTGATCATTGTTATTGTTTGATTATATTATTAATTATATTTTATGAATTGCGAACTTTGCCTGGAATATATTTATCATGATCAATAGTTGGTTCTTGAAGAAAAACATGAAGTGAACGTTCATTTTGAGCTAAGGGATGGCCAGCAACTCTACACAAAGGAAAAATAAATAAATAAATTTTATTTTATTTTATTTTTTGAAATAGATTAATATACTTATTAATAAATTGTTCAAGTCCTTTACGTCGTTCATCAATAAAATCATCTTCAAAAATACCATCATCACGACGAAGAAATGCAGGCATTTGTCGTTTCCATGCTTTTGATGGTAATGATGGAACAACAATCTAATAGAAATTAAAAAAAAAAAGTTTTGTTTTTGTTAAATTATTCAGATGTGTCTGACTTTACTATCACGTTCAAGTTCTTTACGTAACCATTCAAAATCTGAATAACGACGACGTACAGTACATTCTTTTAGACGAAATACAGGTAAATTAGTCTATGAAATAAAAGGTAAATATTTATTTATCGAAGTCATTTTGTTATTACTTTCATCCGAACTTCATAATCAGTATATCGTTTTCCAGCAAAGCCGTGTGTTTCAGGATTAAGTACTTCAATTTCTAAAAAATTTGCTGGTGGATCATAACGATCTTCAAGTGAAATCTACATAGAATTCAGAATATTTTTTTTACTAGGAAGTCAAATTTATTTCCAATTTATTTACTGGTCGAGTTGGTAAGCGAGCAATTTCACGTCGATTTTCAGATTCAATTGTAGACATTATTGTCTAAAATATATCAATAATTATACGACACAAAATAAAATGTAAATAAAATAGTAAACAAACACGTCATAGGTCCATAATGCTCCTCTCCAATTTAATGCTGTGTTCTGTGCTTGCTCTATTTATTTTCGTTCGAATTCATACGGGATCACTAATAGTGACCTCTTATGTTGAAATATTTTATTGGTTTGATACAGTTAATGTATCGAGCAAGCAAGAAGGTTAAATCAACGAACAAGAACAGTATCTAGATTGTTTCTCATATTAAATAATGAGTCTAGATCTTTTTAACCACCGTATAATTAATATCCTAGTTTGCCCTGTGGGAAAGTGAAGGCTTTACCTACAGTAAACAATGTAGTACAATATTAATTATATAATATTGATTATTTGTTGAAATTTTTTTGAGATGATTTTATCAATTTTGTCCTTCCAATAGAATCATCGCAAAAACGATTAAAAATAGTTATTGATGATTAGATGTATCACTTCGTAGTCTACGAATATATATATGTTGATTAAAAATTGTCAAAGTATATTGAACAAATATCTATTTTCAGATTGTGATATTCGTCGTATTCCATCCAAGTATAATACAAAACAAAAAGAAATTCATCAAATAATGTCTTCGAGTAATTGTCTTTATTGTTCTTTTTGTTTAAATATGTATTTTATTGGATTTTTACTTTAGATACGTATATATCTATGCGTCATTTCTTATGGTTTGCTTATTCATTACCATGTTTTGCACTATTTTCTTGTGTTGGTTTATCTCTCTTAAAAGATTTCGAAAAATCAACTCGTACACATTGTAATGTATTTAATTTTCTTCCATCTATATCAGCATCAATTGGGGATTGTGAACCTCAACGTTACATTTGGCGTTTGTGTTTTGCCTTAGATAGTATTCCTCGTTATTTAATTGGTTATTTACAATTCAGACGTTTATTAAATCGTCATCATATGCTTTTACCAGAACTTTATCCTTTAGTTCAAATAACAAATAGTTTAATACATTTTCTTGAATTAACATTTCTTCTTTTATTAACATATATTTCATCAAATGAAATAAAATGGATACATGAAAGTTCATTTGTTGGCTTTATGATTTGTTCATTATTACATATGCTTCTTACTGTATTAATTGATTATTTTTGGCCACGAACAAAAAATTTTCGTTTAAGTGATCAAGAAAGTCAAACACGTGCAAAACGATTAAAATGGTTTATTATTAATATCGGATCTTTTTTTATTTCACTCTATTTTTATTTTCGACATAATGAAATGTGTGAACCAAATATATATTCAATGTATTGTCTTTTTGAATATTTTGTTGTATTAACAAATATTGCTTATCATTCTGTTGTTATGGATGAATGGGATCAACAAGCAGGACAAATACAATTTTTTTATTAAATAAAAAATAAAAATAATCTATCAGTTAATTAATATACAAGTTTTCTTATTCTCGTTTTTTTTTCTCATAGATTATGACAGATAGTGAACCGAGTAAAAAAGAAAAATTTCGTCAAGAAACAAAAGAAGAAAGACGTACTAGATTTAAAGAACGTCGTCGTAAAAAAGCAGAATCAAAACTAGTTGGATTTCGTCAATCAACAAACTATATCGATTCAGCATTAACAAGTGAATCAATATATTATATTGATTCACAATCACCTAAATTACGTAAAGTTTATCCATATTTTTTTACATGGATAACATATGCAAAAGAACGTTGGTATGGACGAACTATTGAAGATGTTTTTCAATATGAATTTCGTCGTGCTATATTAAAACAAAATTTTGATGATATTATACGTAATGGCCTTGTACGTATTAATGGTCAATGTATAGAAAAAAATTATGTTATAGAAAATGGTGATAAACTTGAACATTTTACACATCGACATGAAGTGCCTGTGATTAATCAAAAATTTAATATATTAATTAATAATGAAGACTATTTAGTTATTGATAAACCATGTTCAATACCTGTTCATGTATGTTTACCAATACTTAAAAAAAATTGAGTCAATCAGTTTTTGTAAA